TTAAAAAAAACCAGACAAGTTCTCCCACATCTCACTGGTCATACAATTCCTTGGCGCACAGAACCATAGGGCAAGGACAGAAGCAATGAAGACACAATAATATGAGCAGCGCTTGACCCAGGCTAACCTGAGCAACATTTCCCCTTAACATTTAAAATACAAATTTTAAACTGATTCCATTTTTAAAGTCTATTTTTATAGTGACCGTGTGGGAAAAGCCTCAATGGCTCTAAGCTGATGTTTTTTTCTACCCAAAGAACATTTTCATCAAGCCCTATAGGCTTTTTTTCACCTAAGCATCAGTGTACACCAAACACCACTTTTCAAATCCCTGCTTGCAATAAACACACGTTAGTCTTAATTTTATAGCATCTTCTCATTGCATGAAAATCATTACACTTCCCGTTTTATTTCTCACCTGAGTATTTCATGGGAAGTAATATAAATACATGTGTTTGTGTTACGACTGAGAGCTTTGCAGCTGTCTAGGAGACAAATCCAAATTAAGATAACTAGATGTTTATAAACTAATGTTTGCCCATTACTGAGAAGTATTCCATTAAATCACTCTAAGCAAGGGCTCTTATTTTCTAAGCTATAACTTTAGCCTCTATTTAAATGTATACTATTTTAATTGGCTTGCTCAAGCACAGAGACTGCAATGGAACACACAGATTTTCAGTGTCCTTTTTATAGTATCCCAATCTTGTGATTACATCAGAATCAGGTTTAGCATTTTAAAATATGATTGGGGTGGTGTTTATGGAAGGATGTAAAGATGTGGCTTGGACATAATTGCACAAGATGTTAACCTCATCACAGCATGAAAGAGCAGCTTTTGCCCAGCTGCTGGGGGGGTCATCTCTTACGGGGTGGCGGGGGGAGAATCAGCCCCCCCAAGCCCTGCCAATAATTTGAACCCTGGCTGCTGGGAGCTTGTGGCAGTGGTGGGGAGCAGCCACAGGGTGTGTGGGCTCTGGGCTGCTGCAGGGGGGTGGAGCTTGCAACAGCTCCCCAGAACTGCTTATGTGGCCTGTGGAAGCCAAATAATTGCCCAGCTGTGATAGAGTGATGTTGTAGATTTTTCCAGGTGATATCTTTAACAGGACCAACTTCATGGTTGGAGTAAAATTAGACAAACTTTCAAAGGCAAGACTTTCTTCATCAGGTCAGTATGCTAAGAGGAACTTTTGTATACATAAAGTATCTTAATACAGCTGCATCTTTTTGTTTGCTGCTGCAGCAGCTCAGTTTTAGAAAAAGACTGATTCCCCAAAATTAGTGGCACAGGGAAATAAGAGTAGGATGATCCTTATGGGTAAAAATATGGCAAACCTTGTATCAGTATCAAGTAGATTCTATAATATAATTATCATTTTTTGAGTGTGAGCAAAATAAATGCAGATGATGGTAAAGCTGACCAAACAAAACTGAGACTTTTTTCAGTGTGTATCAGATTTTAAAGGTACTTTGTTAATACTTTGCATGAGAACATACGTGTGAATAATAAAAAGTTAAAATTTTACTATAGATTTATATTACAATAACATCTTGAGGCTAGGTCTCAGCTAAACATGTTTGTTAAGGTAGATCCAGCCCAATCCACTTGCAAAGAGAGATGTACATGTACAGCCACTGTGGAAGGAAGAACCAGGGCCCCCTGCAGTTTTAAGGGCTGCTTGGCCCACCAGCAGCTCACCCCTCCCGGCTGCAGGAAAGGGGGGCAGACTCCACAGGGGAAAAAAAAAAGGATCAGGCCTCTTCCCGCTTCTGCCTTTAGCAGGTGCCTGCTGAAGGCAGCAGCAGTGAGGGACCTGATCTTTTTTTTTCTGTGGAGCCTGTGGCCTATATCTGAAGTGTAACCAAGGTAGTAGTTGGTGGGTGGTTGGTTATTCAAATCCATTTACAAGACTTTAAAACACTGTTTACCTTAGGAACAGAAACCATAAAGTCACTGCTTTAAAAATATTTTATTTTATTGCTGGTGGTTATGTCTTTAGAGATTAACATAATGCATACACAGCGGGCAAGATAAAAACAGGGTTACAATTACATTTGAGGCTGATATTTAGAAGTGTAGTGTCCTTGGTTTTCAACATTTTTAGCACTAATAATTTTACTTTTTACTCTACCCTTTTCCCTTCCCCAAAACAATAAATATGAGTCCTTAACCAAAAAGTTGTCACAATTTTACTATTTCAGAAGTCCATGCCCTAAATAAAATTATCCATAGGCATAACTGAAACTAATTTCAAAGGAAAAAGCAGAAATATACCTTCTGGCAGTTCTTTCATTCCTTGCCCCACCTTTCTCCCCCCGCAATCTGACCCTCCTTGAAACTGCTAATATAGCATCAATCCTGCTGCAATTCATCCCATTTTGCACATTTCTCTCAAAATAAAGTTTACTTTAACTTGTCAGGTACCTTACTACCCAAAACTTCCAGTGGCCTCCCAACACTTTCCTATGCAGCAAGTACTCTTGCGGTCAGCCATAAGCATGGGCAAACCAGCTGTGAGGTAAAGAACCAGGCCAGCCAGAGGCACAAGTTAAGCTGCAGGGTCCATGCTCTTAGCCAGCTGCATAAAGAAACATGATTAAACACAGGCATGTGCTACACAACCATGAATAAAAGCATTAAACCCTATAGGTCAGAGGCACAACATGTACAGCTTCTGCCAGAATGGCTTATCACAACACCAGCACCATGGCTTACTCACTTCTCATGCTGCCTTAAATCCAGTGCTGGCAGCAAAGTGAATTCAACCTGCCATTTGGGGTCCCATACAAAATCGGAGCACAACAGAAAGCAGGTGGCCAAGACAACACAACACAGGACCAGGCCTTAGGAGACATGGTTCTGTCCCTGGCTCTGTTATTATAGTACCTACTGACCTTGAGTAAGTCACATCTGCAAAATAAGGTTGTTCAAGTGCTTTGAGACTTATCAATTAGGCCTGTTCAAAGTGGCTAGCATTTGCTTTGGATTCAGATTTGGCCAATTCAGGGGACAGTGATTTGATTTGATGATTTGAACCACTGTTCCAAATCACTGTCCCAAAAGCAGAAATCACTGTCCCAATCGCAGAAATTCAGCCAAATCTGATTGGGAGATTCAGCCACCGCCAAATTAGCCGAATCTTTGAATCAAACAGCCCCCATCCCCCACCCACTCTCCCAGTCCTGCCCCACCCGGCCCCAACATCCTGGCTCTTTAAAAAAAAAAAAAAAAAATAAAACCCCAGCTTTCACTAGCGGCTGCAAAGCTGGGGGGGGGGGGGGAGGGGGTTGTGGGGTTCCCCACTTACCCCATGCTGCATTGAGGGGCTCTGCCACAAGTCCTCAGAAGCTCTGACAGCCGCTGCAGCAGCCAGTGAGTTCGGGGCTTTTTTTTTTTTTCTTTTAAAGAATCAGGAGCTGGGGCTGGGCAGGGCAGCTATCGATGGGGCTGAGAGAGCAGGCAGGGATGGGGGCTTGTTGCAGAGCCCCCCACACAGTGCAGGGCAGTGGGGATCGCCTCCCCCACCCCCTGCCGGCAGCAGCCAGCAAGTACAAGGCTCTTCTTTTAAAAAAAAAACAGGGACCTGGGGCCGGGCAGGGCAGCCATGGGGTGAGCAGGCAGGTGATGGAGCCTAGCAGGAGTCCCTCCATCGTCCCCTCTCCCCTCCTCCAGTGCCTTCAACCCCCTATTTACCAGCACAGAGTCCAGGTCCAGCTCCCTGTGGCAGTAAGCAGGGGCTACCCGAATCTTTTCCGAATTGATTCGGAAAGCTTCAAATAGATTCAAACCTTTTTACTGGTCTTCTGATTCAATTCCGATTCAGAGATTCAGCCACTGAATCAGGCTGAATGTCCTCTGAATCAAATCAGCACCCAAAGCTTTGCACAGCCCTACTATCAATGAGGAACAACTAGAACAAATCAGTGCATAGGACTCATTTCAGGGCATGTTGCCAACATACTGACAGGAGCCTGCCACTTGGATCTGTGTGTTTTCACCTGATGCACAGTGATAAGTGGAGAGAGACAACAAAAAGACAGCACAAGGGAAAGATGGCCAGGTAGGATGCTTCCTTTCCAAGTAGTTCCTTCTCCTTTTTCGCAATAGGGTCCATGTAGCCTCTCAACCATAAAGAAAAAAGGGAACAAAACACCAGGATCCCTCTCTCTCACACACATTCACCCCCACCCCCCAACCCACCCAGCTCTCTGACAGCTACAGAAGAGCCACAGTAAAAAAGGGATGAAATGTGGATGCTGCTTCAAGCAGCATCAAGTTTCAAGTATTTTTTGGATCCCTGCAGAGGGGAGTCACAGTGCGGCAATGGTTGGATAATCAACTATATCAGTGAGCCTGGCCTGGCTACAACGGCAACAGCTGATGGGGGACTGTGCGTGGCGTGATCCAAAGAATTATGGCCCAGAATACCTCCAGCTCCCCTACCCCTAACTCCAACATCTTTGCTGACTCTGACATCCAGGATTAAAGGTAGCAAGAAACCAAATCAAATTGATATTCCTTTTCTTCCCTGCCAACTCTAAACCTCTACAACAGGGGTGGGCAATTATTTTGGGTGGAGGGCCACTTACTGAGTTTTGGCAAGCAATCGAAGGCCACATGATAAGCAGCTAGGGGCAGATAAGTATTAATTTTCTAAATTTTTTAGGGGCCCTACGGGCTGGATAAAATGGCCTGGCAGGCTGCATTTTTCCCACCCCTGCTCTACAAGATGCTGCTGAAGATGACAAAATTAGCACCAAAAAGAACCAAGGGCAGCAAGAAACAGAAGGACTGTGCTGACCGGCAACACGTTCACCCACGACCTGAATACATTTTAAATGAACATGTGATAGGGGTGAACGAGGAGAACAGAACTTTAACCCACAAGTTAAAAGTTTCCTTCTAACTCCCGGTGCTTGTTTCTGGATTGTGAACCTTTCCAACAGTATTTCAGCATAATTAGGTTAAAGGCTCTGCCTCCTCTAAAAGCTACATGGCCAAGCTCAGTGGGCTTTTATTCATTTGTTTCATGAACAGGCTGATAGAAAAGTGATTTACCTTCAGACACGAATTGACACAGGCTTGTTCATCAGCAGCTAGTAATTCTACTAACACCTCCAAACAGAGAAAGCACCACCATTTCAGACACTGCTTTAAGGGGCACAGGAGGCAGTCAGAAGAGCCAAGGGAAACATCAACCCCTGAATGCTTATCCTGGAAAGTAAGAACCATATTTTGCCTCAAGGTGCTTGTATGTACCTTGGTGGCAATGGAGTCATCTCGCAATATCACTTGCTTCCAGTCATTTTTAACTTGTTTTGAATTGTTTTCTTTGTAAGTCCACAAGTTGTGTGCTTGTAATTTTAGATCTTACACATTTCAATTTATTTTTAAATGCCTTCCAATTAAAACTTTTATTAAAAACAAAAAACAAGCCTATACTCTTACTGATGGCATAAATCCTGTTCAGACTCCTGCAGCAAAGTCCAGACCTCCAATATGGAGAAACACAATTGTAAATATACAAAAAAAATTCAGGCAGTCAGTTTCATGCAACATGCAGACAGACCTTGCCAATATTGGACTGCACAAGCTGTCCAAAACACAGAAATAGTTTGCACTAGTGGAAGTTTGTACTCTAGAAAGCTGCTAGATTATGCAGAAATGAATCTGTTGAAAAAAAATGGGGCAACAACTGCCAAATCTAAAAGCAAATGAGCCAGAAGATCAATCAAACCAGTCAGAGCACGAACTTACAATAACACTGTTGAGAGATGGACTTAACATTCCATTCACTCCCTAATCCTGTTTGTACAGTATGTCCTACTTGGTGTATACCTCAAAACAAAATTTAATCCTTAACAGGAGCCCAGTCATGCAATAACAAAACAAAAAAACAGACTCACCTGACGGGGGGGGATGAGGGGGAACACATTTTTGAAAGGAAATATTTAAAGTGATGAATACTAGTTTCTGCAATTTTCTTTTTTTCAGGTGCAGGAGCTACCAAAGGTAGCATCGTCATTGTCCATCTTTCCCATTTCAGATCCACCAGTTGATGAGACAACAGCATATCAAAGCTTAATATATACATAGCAGTCTGAAAATAAAGCTAGTGCTGGCTATTCAGACGATTTAGCAGCCATTCTATAAACACCACTGATGGCTGATTAGTGTGCTATATCACTGTCAAAAATATTCCGACAATTCCAGATTTTTAGACCGTGCTTTCTTGACTGACACTGTGGTTTTAGGACATCCCTTTCAGTCTCCAGACTAGGATTTTAGAACAACCATATTGTGCTTTCATACTGTGCTTTTCTGGGTGTGGGCATATGAACAGTTTACCAAGGGAAAACAACAGACAGGGTTTTAGCATGCATCAGCTGTGTCATGATAGCTCCCTGTGACCACACGCTTTACCTGTGGTAAATGGAAAAATTAAAGAACAGTAGGTGTGTTCTCTTCTACTGAGAGCTAAACTCCTGTAGTTTTCCTTCCTTTTATTGCAGGGTAAGAGCACACACTCAAAAAGGCAGTTCTTCTGAAAAAACGACACAAAGAAATACCCTGCCCCCAGTTTAAACTTGTGGTAAATTGTTCATATGTTCATTTCTTTTGACTGTAGGAGTCTGGGAATGTCCTTTCTACATACTGGCTCCAACTCTGGAATAACAAAAGAGACTGCTCCTAAATAATCCTTCCCACTGAGGTAGGACTGGACTTTGGGAACAGTATCAATGCTGTGTGAATGCTCATGCAGTACAAACTATCAATAAAGCTAATAATTTAAAGAGCTTTCCTTCTGAGCCTTGCTTTAACTTTAGGAGCTCCCTAGTTATCTGAGATAATTTACAAGGTCAAGAGGAAGCAACTGTACAGGAAGATATAAATACAGCCTGAATTTAGCTGTAGGAAGTCTACTTCCTTTTACTGCCACTCCTTACAGCTGTCAACTTAAAAAGCCAAACAACTGACCTCCCTTGCAACTGCAGTAACTGTAAAGTTTGTCCACATCATTCTTGGTTTTATTTTATACCTCTGACAAAGAGCAACTTAGTTTCACTACAGCAAAACTTGACATGTTTGCCTATGAACTCCTTTTCACCAATTGTGCTAAGTTTCTAGAGGACAAACAAAGGACAGGAAAGCATCTATCTGATTCTTAACAATGACGTCTTCTGGATGCAAATTATGTGGCAGGTAATGAGCCAGTGACATCTCCCAAGCATCCACAAAGAACACAGCAATTCCTGAGAACATTTTCCTCATGATTGTGTCAAGCTGAAAAGAATACCAGTCACTGTTGAACAGGCTCACTTCTGGCCCAAGCTCCTGGACATTAGCCGTTCGGATGACCACCACTGTTTTGGGGCTGCGATCGAGCAGTCGCACGATTGACCTCCGAATGTTCCTCAGTCTCCGGATATACACCTCCAGAGGGAAGGTGCTGAAGTGCGACCATATGGTTATGGCTATCACGGTGTTTCTACCGCCTACAATGCCATTTAGCTCATTGGCAATGTAGCGTAGCTCGCTGGTGAAGACTGTTGTAAAGCGAATGGGTGGTCCATGACAACGGAACTTCAGCAGGACGCTGTGCTTCAGGTCCACGGACATAAAAGGACCCACGTTTTTAGGGCTCCCAAGGTTAAATTCCACTAGATCTAAAATGTAAAAGAACAAATATTTGTTTCCTCATCTGCCATCTTCTACCATCTCTAAAACAGCATTTGCACCACTTACAGTCCAAACAGAGAAAAAATGTTTAGTATACAAGGGTGACATCTTATTCTACCAGTTAGGTCCCTAAGTGGACTTAGGTGCAAAGTATGCTCCCTTTTCTACCTTGTTCAATCCCTGAAAAAACATTAACTTGTCCATTTTGGTAACATACCATCATCGCAGCCTTAATACTAACTCACAAAAAGCAGCAAGCAGGAGAACAACTCCTTCACCTGCTGCATTAGAAAATTTTCAGGGCCTTACAGCCAATCCTAATTTACCATATTTAGGTGGCTAAATTCACTTAGATGCCTAACAGGTGGAACAGCAACTGGCCCAAAGCATCTTAACAATACAAGAGATGCACATGATACATCTGAACTTCAGCTGATCACTATTGGAACACTAAAACAGCTTTACTGAAATGCCAACCAATAAAAAACCCCACCATCTTTTATTAATTTCAGATGAACTGTTTCCCCCACCCCGCACACCTTCTTGCAAAAGAGCAGCCGTGCAAGTATATCTTCTCCATTATAACACTCCTCTAAGTTCAGAAGCAACAGTAAGTTATCCTGCCCTTCCCTTCCCTCCCACCATCATCTTTGGCAACCTTAAAACTCAATTTAGAGTTTAAGATAACAAGTTTAAAATTTTATCAATAATATTTAGCTGAGGAAAAAAGGACGAGGAGCCATTACTTGGACTGACCCCACCCATGTATTTATGGTTTCCACTAACACATTTGAATAGCTTTATAAAGGTGTGATGGAAAATTCAGTTACTGACACCTGAATGTTATTATCCAATAGGAAAGGTCAAAATGGGAGAATGAGTCCAAGAACACCCCATAAAAAAAAAAAAGTAAAATTATATTGCTGAAATATTACAGGCACTATGATGCCCGAAAGAAGTTACAGCATGCCCCCTGGTGGTCAAACTTTAACATAACCACTTATCTCAAAGGGTTAAACAGGGTTAAAGCATTGATGTAGTGATGGCCCAGAAAAAAATTGCAAGCAGGAAGGTTTTTTGGCAATATCTTTTACTACTGGACCAACTGTATCATTGGAAGAGACATTAGACAAGTTTTTGGCCACAAAGTGTCCTTCTTCAGGTCTGTAACATGAACAGTCTTGATTTAAAATAGGCAGAAGACATTCTCTAGTGCCAATCTGATGGTATACTAATCCCTATCAGTTCAGTAGGATCCTACAGTATATCCTAATGCGTGTCCCATCTTTACTACAGAATTATGTTGCCTGCCACCTTGCCAAATATTTATTTGAAATCCTTTTGCTGTCCATCCTCCTCTAGCGTTTCCCCAACTCCCCAGGAGTTTGACAGTAGGGTACGAAAAGACCAGCTGAACATGTAGGTAGATGTGGAAGATGTAAAAACTTTCTAATTCAGCAGTTAACAACCTATGGTCCACAGGCCAGATCAGGCCCACACAGCTACTGAAACTGGTCCACAAACGTGGGGCTTTGATGATGTGTGCTCTCCCATGCTGCAACAGGAAGAAACGGTGATGACTGGCATCTGCTATGTGCCACAGCACAGAGAAGCAGTGGTGGCAACAGCTGCTGGGTCCTAATGCTTGTCCCCTACCACCTCTGACCCAAGGTGGATCATTTTGGCCCACAGCCTGAAAAGGTTGCCATCCACTGCTCTAATCCTTTCCAGCAAGCACCAAGAGAAAAATAAACAAATAATAACCCGGAACAAATGCTGTCAGATATTCAAACCACTGCCTTATTGTAGAATCTCCAAACAAGTAGATAACTTTTCCTTGTAAACATCTGGTAACATCAACAGAATTGTTGAAGTGATGAATCCACTGTGTTCTTGGCCTCCACTGATCTTCATAATAGTAACCGGAAGGGAAAACATCTGGAGCTTGTCTCTCCAGATTGCCTGATTCTGGAAGAGAAAAATTCCTCAAGATTAATAAGCTACTATAGAAAACAGTCTCCATAACTTTCGTCCAAAAAACATTGCCCCACATCTTAAAACAAAGCAGCATGACAGAGGACAGAGATTAACACCCAACCTATAACATTATCATGTAATATGAACAAAACTAATAATACGAGATGTCAAGCTACTAATAGTTAAAGCTATTTAACTAGGCTTCCCATTCAAAGACCCTGATTCCAGTTGCTTACAACTTTGCCTAATTTAAATAATCCAAACTGAAGTGTTCCACATACGATGTTTGCCCGAAGCTGATTTATTTATTTTTTTTAATTATTAGAAAGCTGCAGCAAAAATTACTTTTAGGAAAATTTACACTGTTTTATCCATGTTATAAAAATGGGTTACAAACGTTACTTAGAGAAGTCCTGATGGACTTTTCCATGCTATGGAAAAAAGGCTTGAAACTGGGCATCTGGAGATTAACTGTCACGAATATGCCTTTTGCCATTACCATGAAAATCAGTCCCAAAACTAGCCATGTAACAGGCCTCAATAAAATCTTAGTCTGCACAAACTCGATAGAAACTTGTTCAAGTTTGCCGGCTAACTTCTTCCAAGATTCCATCCTCACTGAGCATGCTCCAGCCTTGGGCCACAAAGAGCTGGGGAGGATTTTCCCTGCAATCAGCCCTTCTTTCTGCTATTGGTTGCTGTGGGTCCAGGTATCAGGACTGAAAGCCAGCAACTTGACTTCCTTGTGCCTTCAGTGTTGTTCCTGCTGGCTCCCAGGCACCCTGACTTGTATGCAGAGAGGACAAATCAGAACTGAAGGGCTTCAAATTTGGGCAAAAAGTCTGGAATGGAGACCTGGGGCACAAGGAACTGGTTTGGCAAAGATTTGAATGGGGATACTCTCAGGAGAACAGAAAAAAAAGAAGCGTCTAAGCCTGGGGAAAGTGAGGAGCAGGAGGGCCAGAAAGGCCTGTGCCCCCTTGAAGTCCAGATTGGAATTCAGGATTCCTTAGTCTCTCCATTTTACTGTCAAAAAATATCTCTGAGACTCGCAGATAAGAGTGAGCCTCATTCCCCTGAAGTGGATGGTCCATATGAAGGATGACAACCTACAGTGGCCATCAATTTCTCAATTTAGCTTGATATGATGCTACATGAGGGAATTTATTTTTCAGTTCGCTTTTTTGAAAACTAAGATTTATGTGTACACACATGTGCATACACAGTTACATTCAAGACGTGAGGATGAAATCACTGTACTCAGAAATTAGGAAATACCAGAGTTAGGGTAGCCCCATACAACATTGCCTTGAGTGATTATATGGATTACAACAGGACTTTAATGACATGGCCAAATGCAATTTTTTCCACAGGTCCCCTATTTCACACCCACCTTTACACCATGTGGTGTGCTTTGCAAAAAAACTGAACAATCAACACTGCAGGCAACATCACAGAGTACTTCATATATGCAAACCACAGTCCACATTGATTTTAAGCACTCTGAAAAATCATGTCCTAAGCCAGGGTTGGCAATGTTTTGGGGCAGGATGCCAAAAACAGCTGCAACCTTGACTTGTAAGATGTTAGCATGCTAGGGGCGGGCCTGTTCCTTGTTGTAGCAGCATAGCCCCAGCCACTGCCCTGCCATCCACCCCGAAGCATGTGCGCCAAGTAAAATGCCTTCATGTGCCACACATTGGTATGCATGCCAGGGGCTGCTTACCCGCATCTTAATTATCTTAAGTTAGGCACCCAAAATTAGCAGGCACTTTTAACATTAATCTCTTTGTATCCCTTTGCCTTACTGAAATGTTGTAAACATAAATTACCACAAATAACTCAGATGCTGTGTAATGAGGAATACCACAGGACAGTTATTCAACTTCCATGAAGTCAGGGGCTGCATGCTTCACAGTCTGCACCACACCACATGGGCTGCACCACCAGGGACTGCATACCCCATGGGCTGCACCAAGGCAAGCTATGGCCCCCCTTTGCACCAGACACCCTGGGGTCTCCCTCCACACTGGTGCACTGGCAGGCCTGCTATCACCCCCTGCCCCCAGACAGACTGGGGGTATTTCAGGCCTACGACCCACCACCACTATACTGTGCGCTCATGACCGCCCCCCCGCCAACTCTTCAACATACCACATGCCCCAGGCTCACTCTCAACTCCCCACACTGCCCTATCCCCTGGCACAGGGACAGGATGGAGCAGCCAAAGGAGAGAGGGGGAGCTTGGAGATTTCAGCTGCTGCTGCAGCCAAAGCAATGCGGTGAAATGGTTGGGCAGGAGCCCAGGGGCCACAATTTAAATCCTCACAGGGTGCATGTTTCCCACAGACCACCAGTTGGACAGCCCTGCTGGAAAAAAAGTAATAATTTTAAACTTCTGATGCAGATTTTGCCAGGCATTAGATCAGACACACAGCCCAGAAGATAAAACTAAATGCTTATTATGTGCTCACTCAGTGAGCACCATGCTTTCTGTGTACTGAATGAGCAAGGGGTGTGTGAAAAAGTAGCATGCAATAATAATATGATCAAGTTTGTTTCATACTGCGAACACCCAATGGACATGCTTCATTCTGTTATTTCCTAGTTTTTAAGATGGTGATATATAATCTTAATATTCTTTTTTATTCAGCAGTTAAGTATTTTGGATGCCTTGCAGTTCAGAAAAGTTGGTCTTCCAATTTTACAATAGTTATAATCTGGAATAAGAAGTCATTACCTTCATATTTATACTGGTGTGACAGAACAGAATCCCGCTTTAAATGACTAAAATCTAAGAATTAAAACAAAAATAAAACAAAACATTAAACCCCCCCATAAGTTGCAAATAAATATGTTATAACAGAGCCCTTGAGAAAATAAAAATCTTTAAACCAATTTTTAAGACTGCATTGCTCTTGCACTTATCCCTGTAGAACAGAAGAGCCCTCTACACCCACATAAATGCAGAAGCAAAGAAACCAAATGCATCTTCCATAAAGGACCCACATACACATGATCCTGATTGTGGCCATCCCTGTGGAGTTAATGGAGAGAAATGCTGAGCTTCTGCTGTCAGCCCTTCCTAACTAGCCATTAATTCTAAGGAAATACTGCAGGGTCTTTGATCATCAATAGTTATCATGCCACTTACACAGGACTTGGACATAATAACTGTAACTGAAGCCATGTACACACGTTTCAGTGGAAGAATTCTCCCAGCTTTGCTCTCTTGGTAGAAACACTTACTTGGAGATGTCTGTATATACATTTGAATGCTGAACCCTGAAAAGCAGAGCTTGCAGTGCTGACACTGTGCAACCAGGGGGCCCTAGTGCACACATCTTCGGGCAGACTTGGGAGTCTGCAGAGCGAGACAGACGGCAGAAGTGCACAGGGCAGCCCTGAATGGCTGACACAGACTGATCAGTCAGACTGTGCATTCTGTTCTGGAGCAGCAGAGTCTAACGAGCAATGCACTGTCTTCCTGGGAGGGAGGGAGGAGGGATGGGAAGAAAGCACCCTTGGATGCTGGAAGACTGTGCTATGGCATCTGTTATTAAAAGAATGTGTGCAGATGTTCACTCTCCCTTAAGAAACTCCCTTGGGAATGATTATTTTTGTCCTGGAGCAGCCATTTTTATCCCGAGAGAAAAATCCTGAACATCTGTATGCTCATGGCTTCTCCTGGGAAAGCAGCGTTTCTCCCAGGAGAAACTGAATGTCTGTATGTGGCCTAAAATTCATCAGCTTCTCAAGACTAAATCAAGGAAAACTCAGCAGCGTCACCTGCGGGTTTCAGAGACAAGAAGGAAAAAATGCTGTTGGCCAACTAGAGTTATAGAAAAGTAGGGCTGGAAAGAACTTATGGAAGAACCTTTAGTCTAACCCCCTACTCTAGGCAAGATCATCCCTATCCAAACCAACCCATACAAGTCCTTGTCTAACTTTTTCCTAAAACTACAGAATCAACCCTGTCACAGAACAAGGCATATTGCCCAAAGTCACCTAGAGTGCTTATCAGTGTCCCACGGCTACAAGTGCTGTTAAAATGTACTCAAGACATACAAGGAAAAGGGCCATTTCCCCACCATAGAGAAAGGCAAAAACCCCAACAGTCCATGCCAATCTGACCATGGGATAAATGTCCTTCCTGATCCCAAATGTGACGATTTGTCTGACCCTGAGTGGACGGTCAAGACCCTCTAACCAATAATTTCTGGGTTTTAGTGCCAGTAAAAGTATTGGCACATCCCAGTTAAAACCCTCAGCTTTGGCTGCAGACAACCTCCAATACTTCTGAGGAAGGCAGGAAAACTAACCCCATCACCTGTAGCACCAGTTAAGGGTGGGAGGGAAAAATCCTTCCTGGCCTCATGAGGCAACCAGCAAGGCCCAGAAGCAATTAAACCAAAACACTTCATTCTTCTCTGCAACCAGGGGATAAAAAGCATGACTCCACACACATATTATACCCTCTCAGTGGTCGGCAACATTTTTGGGCAAAGTGCCAAAAACACCTACAACCATGACTTGTAAAATGCTGACATGCCAGGGGTGGAAGGCAGAGGAGCCACAAGGGGTCTGATCCTTATTGCGGCACTGCAGTCCCTGGCCCCTTCCCCACTGTCTGCCCTTAGGGGCACATGCAACCCCCATCCACAACGAGCCAGAGCAGGGTTCTGTGGAGCATGGTGCAGCCACTCGCATCCTCTCAGGTGCCTGCCACAGCCAGCTTGCACTCTGGGCGGGCCTCTGCTGCTCACCAGAGCCTGAAGCAGGTGGCAGGGAAGCTGCAAGCAGCTTCACGAGGGTCCATGGAGCCCCGGCCTCGCTCACTGTTGGTAGCAGGGTGCACATGCAGCTTGAGGCAGACAGTGGGGAAGGGGCCGGGGCTTCACTGCCATAGCAAGGATCAGGCCCCTTGCAGCTCCCCCGCTGTCCAGCCTGAGACGCACGTGCCAAGCACTGGCACGTGCTGGGGGTTGCCTACCCCTGCTCTAACTGGAGAGGCAAAACTACCCTTTGTACATCCGCTCCCTAAACTTATTCAGGATGCTTTAATATTCTTTTATAACTAAGCTCATTGTGGGGCTCTACTTCATTTTCTGTCTGCCGAATATGGTACTCTCTGATGTCAGCCTGCTCTGAGCTGCTGGGCTTTCTTGTAATGAGACACACAGACAGACAGCAGACAGAGAGTATGTGTATGCACGCGCACACACACACACACCAGAGGGGGAAGGTCCCAAGTTTTCAACTCTTGCTCTTTATAGAGCACTCCAAGCACAGTTACTCCTAGATCATCCCTGACTAATACTTGTCCAACCTCTTCCTGAAAACCTCATAAAACAGATTCTATAGCTTCCCTAGGCAGCCTACTCCACTGTCTCACTGTTCTAAGTGAAGACTTTTCCAATGCGGACTATAAACCTACTTCAGTCTTAATGTCCCAGCCTCTCTGTTAGCAGGACCTAGGAGTGAAAAAGCTACAATATGTCCTTCTGTTTAGGCTAAGCTCTTCAAGACAGGGATTATCCTTTAAACATCCCCTTGGGCCTCAAGCAACACTTTGAAAAGCCACTAGTTAAGCAGCAAGTCTCTTGTGTTGTTTCATTTTCTGCATTTTTCTTTTTAGTGAGGAACATCTGAATAAAACGTCTATGTGCATTGAGTGTACAAGTAAGCATGAACACACTATAGACTGTAAGCTCCTTGGGGCAGGGACTATCTTTTTGCTTTGCATTTGTTCAGTGCATATTGCAATGGGATTCTAGTTCAGAACCACCACCCCTATACATTGTGGTTTGGTTTTGTTTGTTGTGGTGTGGGTGGGTTGGGTTTTTTTGGTGCCTTTTTAAAAAAAAAAACAACAAAACACACATGGTAAACCATTAACTACATTGCTCAGGAAACCTGTGAGATAAAATTCTTAGGAATGATGGGGAAAAGTGTGAAACTGGTTCTGCTAGTCTAATTTGGGAAGGCAGTTATTATAATGTGCATATACTACAGTAGTACCCAAAGGCTGCTGTGTGACACTGTTAAGAGAGAGTTTGTGACAGAAGTGCTCACAACACTGTGGTAATTGATGCATCAACCTTTTAAAGAAAATATGTTTTATGACAATAGCTGTGACAAAGCTATTTGTATATTAATATTTAACTCATGATTATTTTTTCTTTCAATTGATTTAACCATAAATTACAAAACAAAAAACTTGAAAGCTTACTTTACCTGTAAATCTCAGGGGCTTTACAGTCACTGAATCCGGGCCACTGGAGAATACTGGCATTTTGATATTCACATCACTTGAAGAATAATTAAAAAAAAGGATATATAATGTAACAATACTGCTACGCCATGCTAGTTTTTAGCCTCAGTTTCTCCTAACTCATTTGTGCACGCACTGAATACGCAATAAGATTTTTTGTTTTTACTTCTACAATGTTCCTTAGCTTCAAGACCTCTTTCCAGTATTAATTCCTCCTCCCCCAGGGGGTGCTATTGTGACCTTAATTAGCCAAAATTTGACATCATATTTTAATTTTCACACTCATTTTTACAGGTGCAAACTCAGTGAGATGCATCAGCTTTAGCAATCAGAAATCTGTACAAGAGAGTGTAGGGGAAGCTACCACATAGATTCTGTAGGGTTCAACAGCATGGATATGCTATACCTGACCAACATACCACCAGATTGGAAAGGCTGATCTCCAATGCTAAAAGTTGGCCTCCAGTTCTCTTATCAGAATAATCTATAATCAGAGTACCACCTCGCATCAAAGTGGATAAAAAATACACAAAATGGAAGAAGAAAGCAATCAAGGACTGATTTTTCCAAGGAATATTTTTGTATGCCAGCAAAATCTGCAAACTGATACAAAAAAGAAGTGATGCAATCCCTCAAAGAAGAGCATGCTTCCTCGATTGCTTTAAAAGGAGGCCATGAGGAACAGCAGGTATACTGCAATGACTTTGAAGCTGTCTAGTGCTTAGAGAATTTAACTGGCTCAGCAATGTGATACAAACCCTATACATTTAGTGCTCCAAATTTGGAAGTCACAAAAAAGCACCCACCTCCCCTGCCCCCCCTAGTTTGAAGCCTCTGATCTATTTTGAAAATCTATATTGGGGAATTTATCCTATGTACCAATGATAAAAAACAAGATTTAAAGGCTAAGTGATTTTTTTGTTAAAGGACTTCCCTTCCCTAGTTCTCTTCCTCCCCTCTCCCTCCACCAACCCTCCCCAAGAACTATTTACCATTTCTATAACCCCTTTCATCTGAAGATTTCAAATTAATTTACAAACTTAAACAAGCCATAATTCTCTTTTGTAAGTACTGTTTACAAGCATCGTTCAGGTATTACAAGTAGAGGAAAGGTACAGTAGGGCAGTACCCGAGACGCTTAATGGTTCAAAGTGGCATGAACTACTTCAAATGGAAGAAAGAAAATTTCATGCAGAAGGGAAAGGGACAGGAGGAGGGGATGCTGCTAAAAGAGGTAATAAACAGGTTGTTTAAATTAGCGTTTCTCAACCTGTGGATCGTGGCCCAAAAAGCAGGTCTCAGGAATATATGAAAGGGTTGCAAAAGAACTTTAAAAATGGATTCTCCTTTAAAGGAGAAAAATGTGAGAAAGCATGGGTCTTCCTTGCCGGCTGGCAAAGCTCCAGTTTGCGAGGGGTTGCTTGCTTCCCCCACCATCCCCATTTCTACCCCTGTCCCACATGAGAGGGCTAAAGCCTAGAAACTGGGGCAAAAGGTCTGGACTGAGGCGCACTTTGTCAAAAATGGCCACTGATGTTTACAAGTGGGTCCTGGTACAAAAAAGGTTGAGAACCACTGGTTTAGATCACATGAAATGAACAAGGCAGTGAACACCTGGAGGGATACCAGAATGTTACAGGTAGGTAATCTGAGGCACGGAAATTAGTCAAGAATAAGACCCAAGAGAACTGATTCCTTGTTCTCAGGTATAAACACACACTGCATTCTAATTAAACTACATGAGAAAGAGTACCATCTTTCAGGCTTCCTTCATTTGAGGCCTGCATAGATGCATTACCCATACAAGCACTCTTACAAAATGCTTGCTTTCAGCACCTTTTTTGAATGGTATGGCAGTGCACAGAACTACTGATGCAATATAGCGGAGGGAAACCAGTACCACACAGAATGAGGCCCGCTGGCATCTATTCTGCATACTAGCAGTCTCCCTATCAGTCTTCCACCCCCAAACCTCAGAATTAAAGTGGAATCCAGAACACACAGACACACATATACATGCACAAGGATTTTGAAGTTAATTTATTTTGGCACCTTATGTAACAGATAAGGACTGCTTCCCCTTTGAAAGCTAGTTACTCAAGAAGAGTTTCCACTGCCAGTTCTTTTCCTCATAATTAAACTGCTGTGAGATTTAGCATTTGAAAGTCATCCAGGGCAATGAAAAATAGACCATGTTATGCCGAACATTTATGAAAGATTATTGTTTGCCAAAATATACCTGCAGCATTGAGGTTATTAGTGTAGTTGCAAAAACAAGAAATAAATATCAGAAAAAACACCACCACCGTTATACATGATGTTCTACTCCAAAGGTGGCTAAATTGCAGCACAGGTGACACAAGCCTCTGTATGTAGCACACAGCAGATTGAGGAGGGGACAGGCAGCATGGTGGCAGGTAGGGCAAGAAGCAGAAAGCAAAATAGCAAATTAGGCAGGGAGCATAGGGAATAAAGCAGAAAGCAAAGCAGCAGCTCAAGGGAAAGGGGATCCGAGTGACATCTGGGAAGGGGATGGGGTTAATTTGTGGCACACCTGCCAGAAAAGTTGGTGTAGTTTGTCTCAGATGATAAACTCAGAGCACAGGGGCTAACCTGATCTATTTCCAAAACAAACCAAATTGTTTAAGACTGAAACCTGCTGGCAGAGCAGCATGGCTGAAAACTTTCACTGCTACTGCTTGGGCAGGACTTTCTTCTGCAGATAAAGAGGGATGACTTCAGCCTGCATGGCTGTCATTCTAGCACTTTTCACCAACATTATATTTGACATGTTGCCTGATCCCTCTTCGATACATAACATGGCTGTAATTTAAAAACGGGACCATTCAATAAAACAAGACAGAACACCCATGCACAAACTGTGGACACACGATGCATTTACAACATTTTATACAGCAATACATGTTACATAGGTACCTGGAGTGGACAGACAAGACAGCTCTTCTGAGGTCACTGCCTGTAGTAGGCACTATATTACAGCACTTCACCCCAGTGGCCAGAAAGCCAGTAACAGAATCAAACAAAATTAGGGTGGGAAGGGACCTTAGGAGGTCATCTAGTCCAACCCCCAGCTCAAAGCAGCACAATCCCCAACTAAATCATCTCAGCCAAAGCCTTGTCTAGCTGGGTCTTGATGGAGATGCCACCTCTCTGGGTAGCCTGTTCCAATGCTTTACTACCCTCCTAGTGAGAAAGTTTTTTCCTGATATCTAACCTAATTTTTCCTTGCTGCAACTGCAATAGTCTGTTTGTATTGAGCAAGTGACCAAATATGTGAATATATAATCCACACATTACTGTAACTTGCCTAGTGTAAGAGTACATACAGTTGTGTAAAGCTACATTATGTGCGTCTGCTCCACATTTATGGCAGTGTGAATGTGTCTTGTGTCCACACCAAGTTACCCATTTACTAGCATACTTACTTTTGGAAGAAGAGATTCTCTGCTGCTGTCAGAAGGCCCTTTTGATATCCCCCCTTGGCATGGCTGATTCTGCTGGCACAGGGAAGTTTTCTGGGCTTGTAACAGAACCATGGTTCACCAGTGTAGAGATCAGTGAAGTTGCACACCGGAAGATCTCCAGGCAAACACACATTGCACACAGTTGTTTCTGAATTCCTTCCAGATCTAAATAAACTTTTAAAGTAAACTCTGTCTGGCTTTTCTTCCCGTAAGCGTCGAAGGACTTGGATGCCTTCGCTAGGGTGGACCAGTGACACAGACACTTTGACCTCCCCTGGCCAGAGCAAAATGAAAAAGACTTTGTAAAAACCATTCTGGTAATCTACAACCCTTCCAGTTGCACCAGCTTTCAGCACAGGAGAGTGGATTCTTGCCTGTAGATAGTCACCACCATACTTCTTTGGTTTGCCTTGAAAATCTTTCATACGGACTAACACCTCTAGCTGATCACCCACCTTGAGACGTGCCTGATGATTTAAGATCACAAAGTCGCTGTGGGCAGGATCAGTACTTCGTACAAAAGGGATTTTGTCTTCAGGGGGTTTGGGCCATTGTATAGCAGCAAGTAAGAATTCCTCTTCAGCTCGTTCTCTTTTGGACAAAATTTGATGCTCATAACCACAATAAAGTTTGCTGGCAATTTTAGTTGTCCGAGATGAAGACTGCTGGCCACCAGGTTCTGTTATCCAGTTTAACCCTGAGACTGTGCTGTGATCCAAGTGCTGGGGAGAAAGAAGCCAGAACATTAAACGTTACAAGTGACTAAAGTTCTGATCGGGAGATCAGAACTACAACCTGGGTTTGTTGGGAGCAGTGTAGCTAGTGACCAAACATCCCAGTTTCCTGAAAATATGCAGGTATATTTCTAAAAAACAAGGTGCCCACCTACTATTTACATAAAGGCTCCTCTCCACTGCTCTGACAATTGTTTAAATGCAATTTAAAGCAAAGGATTTTATGGCAACATTTTGGACATCTATGCAATTATATATTTTAACCAGAGGTCAAATTTATTCCCATTTGGAAAGTTAGGGTGTAGGTTTCATAAAGGTCACTAGTCTGATCCAACAGAGGAGAGGATCCAGAAACTGTCCCTGCAGAACTGAAAGAGATTTTCAAAAGTCAGCGAAGTTTAAATGTTGAATCTGCCCAAGCAGGGCAAACTCTAAAGTTGCTGGGATTTCAGAGACTGTTGTCAAAGCCAGTTTTTAAAACATTCAGATATAAGTGGCCAACAGCAGATCTAGGATTTTGAAAAGGGTGGCAATGGTCAGGATCAGGCCCTTGGACTCTAGAGCTGGCAGGACACAGCAAGCACCACTGGCTGCCTGTAGGAAGAGAGGCTGGGCAATCCAGCTCCGGCAGGATCAGGTCCTCAGCTACCGTGAACTGCAGGAGCAGAGGAGGAATCCAACCTGGAAGGGTGGGAGGCACAACATACCACTGCACCTCCTATAATGGTGGGTTCCCAATTTCTGCATCTTTGATAATACAGACCCAAGCCTCAGGATTTCTCCTCAATTAAAACTCATGTTAAAACAAGTGTGGTTATGGAGAATTTTTTCTGTAGATGATAGAACCTTAGAAATCCATACAACTCATCATTCATGTAATTTGCTAATTCTCTGTAGTTATCGCAGTTAATTCCTCACTGAGGTCTGACATCAACAAGGTTTCACAGCCTTACAAAAGATACTGCTATATATTAAAAACTGCACCTAAAATCTATTGTATTCAATAAAGAAATATAAATAAGGATATATTTTTATTAAAACAGACCTAGGTTTTCTATTTGCCGCCTCTATTGGCGGATTCAGTAATTCAGTGTATTTTCCAGCAATGTAGGAGAAGCTATACGATCTCAAATCAAACTCATCCATTTTGTCAAGTGTTAGAAATGATTTAATGAGACATTCTCACAGTACCATTGTATTGTCTTTGAGCCTTACCTGTCTGCAAGCTTAGACTAAACAGCTACAAGATTATTTACTGTTTACTACAAATCGAAACATGTAGCAGTTGTTTACAGCATTTCAGGCTCATTCTATTAACATTTGTTTTTGATGTAGTTGGAGAAGGTTTGCAGAGTCTCATACTGTCAATCCATATAAGCATATGTTATCCACTTAGGGCATCTTTACACATGCTTCGGGGTTTGGGAGGGGAAGGGAGAGGGAGGGGGCACTTTAATTAGAGTGGCTTTCGGAAGCCACTCTAATTAAAGCACCTGCAGCATCTTGGGTATTCAGTGGCCTATCCTTCAAAATGGGAGCAGGGGCGCTTTAACTAAAGCCCATTTGACAAGCTTTAGTTAAAGTGCCTCTGCCACCATTTTGAAGTTTGAGGATGCTGAGTATACATGATGCTGAGATTAATAGAGTCTGCTACGACGTAAATTAACTAGCACACATCGGAGCAGGAATTGAGCACAGGTGTAGGTGCCCTTACCATGCTTAGTATCAAGGCCAACTGTGCACATTTCATATTCAGTTCTCTTCTGTAAACTGACAGGAGAGAACAGAGACAAGAACACTTACCATTATAGTAAAGCTTACATTTTTTCAGACCAGTACCTTCCACCAGGAGTTCACAAATATTAACAAATTAAGCCTCATGCCCCTGTGAAGTAGTTAATTCATTAACCATGTCCAAATGTAGGACCATAAATGAAGAGCATCCTACAGGATCACCCAGAAAGTCTCTGGCAGAGTAGGAAATAAAATGCAAGAAATTCTAGCTCTGTCTTGATCTCAAATGCTTTGAACATAAGACTGACTATCCCTTCCTCTCAAATTTACAGGAGCTTTATTTATAGACAGAATGTTTTCAACAGAGTCTTCAAAATCCTTTTCCTGATCTTGCCTGCATAACATATGCAGTTCCCATGGTTTAATGGATGGCTGCAACAGACAGAGCTTTTGCAAATATCTAGCTGTACACATTTTTACTGTGGCGCACACAGTCTTTATTATTAAGCATTTGGTGCTTCAACTGCAGGGATATCTGAGGCGCTATAAAATGTAAAAATAACCATTTTTCTCCTTAAATAAGCCACACACAGAAGAGAAGAATACACAAGCAGTTAAACAGGCAGTAGCTATAATTACATAGAGAATATTCCAATCAACTCACTCAGGAAGACAAAGCTGCCATTTTTAATGCTGGGTTGATACTTTAGGACCTTCCAGGTTTTGCAAAGCCCTGAAACAACTTCCAGCAATCAAAATAGCTTAAGCAAAACAAAAATCTCCCCCACAACACATGCATCACCAAAGTAGACTAGCTAAGACAAAACCTTCCTTTGGGTCTCCCAGTGTTTTGTTCTGCCTTTGTGTCACAGATTTACAAGGTTTTCCTCAAGACACGGGCCTTTTTGCAGTTCCTCCTTTAGCTATCCTTACGGGTAGTGCGCCCCAAAGATCCTTCAGCAAGACTGGGCCCTTGGATTATAGCATATTTGTCCTTAGGAAGTCCAAATTACTGTGATTTTTGCTGGGGACTTTCCTTTGTAGGGAGCTAATGCAGTAGAATGCAACTACAGGGGCACAGGCAGCCTTTCCCAAAGTCTTTTGTTTAGCATCGCAAAAGCCACACAGCCCCTATAGCAGAAGTGCCTAGCCCAACATACCAAAGTTGTTCCAAAATCCATCTTGTTTCTTTGTTTACCCATACTGGACTCATGAAAGTTTGGGAGAGGATGGGAAGGGTTAGTCTCTAGATATCTGGTCTTTTTGTTCCACACTCTCTAGCTACTCAGTTATTGAGATTTTCATATTTCCTCAAGGTGCTCCATTCTTGAAGGCTCATTTTTAACCAACCCAGACATGCTCTACCGTGCCTCACTTCTGTAGCCCAGGACAAATGTTAACCCCTTCAGCCCTAACTAATAAATTACAATACAAATAAGAAAATCAAGATGTGTATGTTTATAAAAATTAGATTCCCTCAATCGTCACACTTTTCATTTAAGCTGCAAGCTCCTTGCGACAGAAATGACCAGAGGAGCCTCAGACATAAGAAAAAATTGTAAATTGTAGAAGAAAAGACAACCTGCTCCTCCTTCCCCCTCTTCCAGGGACTCCAAGTGCTGATCTGACCCAAGCCCTAAGTCACTGGGCAGGTCACATAGCAGGTCATCTCTGAGTCGTCTTTTTCCAGTCACTCGTATTGACATGGAAGGGAGTGAATTTAGGAAATGTGCCATATGAAGAACTGATGACTGCTGACAGATCACCATCTTGTCAGACCCATTATTAACATCTGGCTTGCTCCAGAACACCAAGAAACAGAGAAAAGCAATGCAGAAAACTCTCAACACCTAATCTCTTCAAGACCCAAAGGTCTCTAAGGATCTCCAACAGTGTCTCCGCAAAAAGCTTTCTGCCCCTGTCCATAGATGAAGGCAACATTGAGAAACTCTGGAAGAGGTCTAAAACCACCGTCCATACAGCCTGTGTTAAATCTATTGGCTATATCACACATTGACACTTGGAGTGGTTTGATGAGAGCAATGCTGAGACCCAAGCCCTCCATGACTGGAATCTCACTCTGCTTGGCAAGACAGCACCTCATCTCAGCAGCAGAAGAAAGTATATCGGTTTCTCAAAGTCAAAGCTCAAAGGAGGAACTGGGAATTCAAAAAGAAGTGGTGGCAAGATAAAGCCAAGGAAATCCAGTTCTATGCTGACAAACATGACATGCATAGCTTTTTCCAGGCAATGGAAGCCATTTATGGCCCAACTTCCCACGGTCCTACTTTCCTGCAATCACAGGATGGCTCAACACACCTCAAAGACAATGAATTTATCCAAGCTAGAGAGAAAGAGCACTTTTAGGTACTCCTCAACTAGAAGCAAACTGTGGTAGAAACCACCACTGAATCCATCCCCCCAGCACCCTGAAAGGGGATCCCTCACCAATGCTCCTGTCCTAGAAGA